AGGAGGAGGACGAGGAGTTCCAGTTCATCAAGAAGGCGAAGGAGCAGGAGGTGGAGCCCGAAGAGCAGGAGGAGGAGGTCGCCAACGACCCTCGGTTGCGGCGACTGCAGAACCGCATCACTGAGGACGTGGAGGAGCGGTGAGTGCTGATATCTGGGGGCCGTGCTGTTCCTCGTGTTCCCCTACCTTTGCTTTTCTGGATTCAGGGAAGGTGCACACAAGGAGTTTGTCTTTTCTTCATATCCTTTGTGGTCACAAGTCTTTCTACAGTCTCATTAAAAACAGATCACAAAAATTTCTCATATTCTCCTTGTGTTCAGAGCATCATGGTTGAATGGACATTTGTTTCAGGCTGGCAAGGCACCGCAAAATTGTGGAGCCTGAAGTGGTTGGAGAGAGTGATTCTGAAGTGGAAGGTGAAGCGTGGCGTGTGGAGCGAGAGGACACCAGTGAAGAGGAAGAAGAAGAGATTGATGATGAGGTACGTTTGTAGTGCTGAACAGATGGGGCCTGAGGAAGTCCCCTAAGGCCGTATCTGGAATTGACTTTTGCAGAAAACTGTGAACATTGATGGGACTGGGTGAATGTTGGGACTTGAGTCACAGCCAGCTGTCGTGTGACCCCAACTTATGGGTTATGGGGCACTGGGGAGGTCACCTCCATGATGAGGTGTGGGCTTATAACCAGTGAGCTCACCATCATGCTTTCTGTATGGAAAAAAGAAGAAAGCAGAAGTGGGGCGGTTGGCTGAGTCTGTGTTTGATGTGTCTCCACCAGGAGATTGAGCGTCGGCGTGGGATGATGCGTCAGAGAGCACAGGAGAGGAAAACCGAGGAGCTAGAAGTGATGGAGCTGGAAGATGAGGGCAGATCTGGAGAAGAATCTGAGTCAGAGTCTGAGTACGAGGAGTACACAGACAGCGAGGATGAAATGGAGCCACGTCTCAAACCTGTCTTCATCCGCAAGTAGGTGACACAGCCGTGTGGGCCAGGTACTGCACAGCAGTCACTGCTCCAGCTCCTGCATCAGGGATGGGCAGTGACTGACCTGGCAGGGCACGGCTGGGTCTGAGTGGCAGCAGAGTTCCAGCTGGGGACTTTGGGCAGGTGCAGCACAACAGGAACCAGGCAGTGTGCTCCAGTGTGTTCCACGGCCAGTGGCAGGGTCTCGCAACCGCCTTTGTGCGTGTTTGGGGATTGAGTGTGGTGGCTCTTGCATGGGCAGCATCAGAGAGGAGAGAGCCTGTGTACTTGGCCCTGCCATGCGGGGCGTAAAGGCAAAAGAGGCTGCAGTGCGGCAGCAGAAGTCTGCAATGGCTTATGGAAAGGCTGAAAGCTTTTGTGGTCCCTGCTCACAGGAAGGACCGGATCACAGTTCAGGAGCGAGAAGCAGAAGCCTTGAAGCAGAAGGAGCTAGAACAGGAGGCAAAGAGATTAGCAGAGGAGAGGCGCAAGTACACGCTCAAGGTACGGTGGGGCGGGCTGGGGCCGTGCTGGGACAGCTGCTGCAGTGAGCTGAGCTTGGTCTCGGCTTCAGATCGTGGAAGAGGAAGCGAAGAAGGAGCTGGAGGAGAATAAGCGCTCGCTGGCAGCACTTGATGCTCTTGATACAGATGATGAGAACGATGAGGAGGAATACGAGGCTTGGAAAGTGCGCGAGCTGAAGCGCATCAAGCGGGATCGCGAAGAACGAGAAGCGTAAGTACTGCCTGCTGAAGGCAGGAGAGTCCCTGCAGTCCCAGGTCCTGCGGGACAGTGGACAGCTGAGGCATCTCTTTCTCGGGCTTTGTTTTGGTTGCATCAGGAACCTTTCTTGAGAAACCATCCTCGAGGCGCTTTACTCCATTGTGGAGTCAGCAGGCGCATTCCCTCAGAAGGCTCTGGGTGGCAGCAGCTGCTCCATGCTGGGAGGGCACTGGGGGATTGCAGGGGCTCAGGGTTTCTCTCTTGCCCAGCATGGAGAAGGAGAAGGCAGAGATCGAGCGGATGCGGAACCTGACGGAGGAGGAGCGCCGTGCTGAGCTGCGAGCCAACGGCAAGGTCATCACCAACAAGGCAGTGAAGGGCAAATACAAGTTTCTGCAGAAGTACTACCACCGTGGTGCCTTCTTCATGGTGAGTGCTGCGGACGGGCCTGGGGCTGCGTGGGGCCACGTGCCTGCTTTGGGGAGCTTTCCCTAGCGATATCCAGATAAGGTCTGGCCTTTGGCAGCCACTGTGCTGCAGAAGTGACCGCAGTGATCTGAGATGCCTGTCAGGTCTGGCGGGCAGGGTGAGTAAAGACATGAGTGCAGTTGGTCAGGGACTTGCTGCAAGGAGCAGCTGTTCCAGAGTAGTTGGTTCTTGGTAGCTCTTCGCCACTTGTCTGCTACTGACACTTGCTGGAAACTTGCAAGTCAAGCAGCTGTGTCCTTCCTCTGCAGGATGAAGATGAGGAGGTGTACAAGCGGGACTTCAGTGCCCCTACCCTTGAGGACCACTTCAACAAAACTATCCTGCCCAAAGTCATGCAGGTAGGTGTGTGGCAGGTCTGTGTGTTGCCCCAGCTCGCCAGTGCTGCTCAGCTGGGGCTCGTGCATGGCAAGGGAAGGAGCAGTGACATGACAGGGTCCCCACATCTTACCCAAATGGGTGCTCACAAATCCTTCCTGCCTCCCAGGTCAAGAACTTTGGGCGCTCAGGACGGACGAAGTACACGCACTTGGTAGACCAGGATACCACCTCGTTTGACTCTGCCTGGGGCCAAGAAAGTGCACAAAACACTAAATTCTTCAAGCAGAAAGCAGCAGGTGTGAGGGATGTCTTTGAGAGACCCTCAGCCAAGAAGCGGAAGACCACTTAAGGGAGCACGCAGGAGGGCACCCTGTGGCTGCCTACTGGGCAGAGAGGCACTGCTTTGTCAGCTGCCCAAGAGCCTGGGCAGGAACAGCAGGGACAAAACACCGCACCAGGACTCGTGCCACAATAAGCTGTTCCTCCATGTCCCTGCACTACGTCCTCCCTGTTGATTTGGTGGCATGACTCTCGACCTGCACTTCAGAGACTCAGCAGACTCCATCACTGGCTCTTGTGAAAGATGACTTCCAGCTATGCTGAGGAGCCTCATAGTCATGTCCCCATCCCACCTGCCTGCAAAAGCTTCAGCAGCACCAGACCAGCTGTACAGAAGCACAGCACCCCCTGCTCCAGCATCCCCACCTTCAGAGGAAGTAGCAGACACTTATCCCTGTCTGGCCCATACTATCTCTTCCTCCTACCTTTCCCCATTGTCATTTTGGATCTTCCTTTGGTTGGGAACAGCTGTGACACTGTCTCGTAATCCTGTTTCTGCAGGGCTTGGCTTTTCTACCTGTACAGGGGGATGGGATTGTTTTGATTAAAGCAATTGTTTTCTTACAAATTCTGGTAGTGGTGTCTGGGGCAGAGCAGGCCAGGCACTCAGCCACCCTGCTCTGGCCAAGTGCTTCTGCTCACCTCAACAGAGCAGCAGCCCCCCCTTACTAGCAGCACTGGACTTGACAAAGGTGTCCCAAGGGTGACACATCACTGAAAATCAGGGTTCCTGCCCACACTCAAGAGGTGGGCAAAGGCAGCAGGTCATTTCCAGCTGATCTACCCAGCCTCCTGTAGTAGGGACCAAAAGCCTGTCTTGGAGTAGCCCGACAACCCAGAAAAACCTGGGCAAGCTCACTGATGTGCAGGCAGGGACCAGCAGTCATCCTCTAATGCAGGAAACCTGGTTATCACTACCCTGAAGCCACGCATTGTCCCCACATCGTCCCCATCACCAGGTGCCCTCTGGCCTTTGTCCAGCAGGGGAAATGCTCTGTGCTGCATGAACCACAGGGAGCCCGTTCCCACTGGTGCCTTTATTCAATAAGTTAACATACATCATCTCCAGCCAAGGTCACGTTGCTGTTCTCGGAACAAGGGAGCACAGAGCCAGGGCAGCTCCACAGCCCACGCTCAGTTGGTGAGGGTGATCAGTGCTTCCACCACGTTGCCCATATGCTCCCTCAGACTGCGCTCTGCAGCTGCCCGCGAGATCTCCATCTCATTCATCTGCAGGAAACAGCCACAGCTCAGTACAGCTCCGTACACAAAACCACCCTGCAAGCCAGGGTGGAAGGGGAGGCTCAGCTCAGCAGGGGACACCCCGCTGCGCACTTCTGCGCCATGGCTGTTTGCCAGGGAGGTGCCAGGCACTGGCTGCCCCTGGGATGTGCTGGCACCAACTCAGCTTCCTGCCCTTACTTACAATCAGCTCCAGATCTTCTTTTTTGATGGTGACTTTGGCCAATTCCTTCTCCCTGTAACCAGAGGCAGAACCAACCACCAGTGAGGGGCAGCTCCATTCAACCCCAAACCACAGCAGAATTGACTCCATGGAGGAGCACCGCATACAGCCCCTGGACCTCCACCCAGGGCAGACGTGCCGTGGCTGCGGAGGGGCAGCAGGAAACCGAGGCCGAGCCTAGAGCCGGGCGGGTGCAGGCGGCGGGGCCGCCTCCGGAGCCACGTGCGGGGAGCGCGGTTACCTCTCCTGCTTTGCCTTCTGCTCGCGGGACCGCCGGTCTCCAATCACCGACATGGCCTGGTGGAACGAGCACAGTCACCTCGGTGCGCCGAACCCGGCGCGTTCCCGAGCAGCCCTCCCCGAGCAGCGCCCGGCCCGCACCGTCTCCAAGTTGGAGCTCTGGATCTCCTTCTCCTCCGCGTAGTCCGTCACCCTTTCCAGGTCCGCCGCTCCGCTGTCATGTTTCCGCGGCTTCTCGGCCGCCCTTCCTCCCGCCCCATCGCTGCCTCCGCCAGAACCGTTAGGCTCAGTCTCCAACTCCAGCTCCACGTCTCCTTCTGCCGCCATTACACCTCCTCCGCGCCTCACTTCCGGTGGAACCAGCGAGAGCGGGGGGCTGCGCGGGCTAGAGCGGCAACCCCTGCGCCCGTGAGGAGGACAGAGCGCCCCGCTGCGGTCACCCGGGCCTACGCGCGGCCGCCAAGGCCTTGTGTTCCCACAGCCGCCGCACCAGGAGGCCCGGCACCGCCTCAGCTCCCCTCGGCTGCGGCTCCACGCTTCGCACTGCCCCGTGCAAGGCGGCACCGCCTGTGGCCGGGGGGATGACCAGTTGTCAGCCTCTCCGCAGCGAGCAGATGGCGGGGCGGGTCAAGCTGACAATCCCCTTAATCCCATCAGGGCCCAGCCGAGACAGGACGGGTCATGGCGGGCACCAGGGTGCGCGGCCTCCTGCACTCATTCCCGAGCCAGGTGGGAGCTGGGGCTGGGGGCACTGGGGCGGGGGGCTCGCTTTGGTGCTGACCGTGTTCCCTCCAGCTGTGCTGTGGCTGCGGCCATGGCAGAGGGCTGCGCGCCTCCACAGGCACCCGCATCCTCTACACCCTCCTGCACGTCCTGGCCTCTGCCGTGTGCTGCCTCATGCTGTCCCGCACTGTGGCTCAGGCTGTCAAGGAGAAGGTGAGCAGAGGAGCAGCAGGGGATGCGGGCCGCTGGGGCCGCTCGGGGGGTCGATGGGTGTGCTGGAGGTGCTGCCACACCCCCCATGCCAACCCCTTGCTGCTGTGCCCACAGATGCCGTTCTCAGGGGTCCTGTGCCAACACCTGCCCGGCGGCACGGACTGCACGCAGCTCGTGGGCTCCTCGGCCGTCTATCGCGTCTGCTTCGGCACCGCCTGCTTCCACCTGGCACAGGCTGCCCTGCTCCTCAATGTGCGCTCCAGCGCTGACTGCCGCGCTCGGCTCCACAACGGGTGCGGGCTGGGATGGGGCCGGGAGCTGCGTGTGCTCTGGGGGTTGTGGGGTGACACAGAGCTGTGTCTCCCTGACACCTGCTGCCCTGCAGGTTCTGGTTCCTGAAGCTGCTAGTGCTGGTGGGGCTCTGCGCCGCCAGCTTCTTCCTCCCTGAGGAGAGCTTCATCCAAGGTGTGACCCCTACCCTGCCCGGGCCAGTGCCCACTCGTGGTCCCATGGCCCCAGCTTCATGCTAGCATCATCACTGCCTTTTTCCCCTGCAGCGTGGCACTATACAGGTGTTTGCGGTGGCTTTGCTTTCATTCTCATCCAGCTGGTGCTGATCACTGCCTTTGCACACACCTGGAATAAGAACTGGTGAGTGCCAGGATGGGTGGGTGGGCACCTGCATGCTGCCAGCTCTCACCACTTTCCCGGCAGGCTGACGGGCGCAGCACAGGACAAGCGCTGGTACCTGGCTGTGCTGCTGGCCACCACTGCCTTCTACACCCTCGCCTCCGCTGCCTTCTCCTTCCTCTACAAGTACTACACCCACCCAGCCGCCTGCCGGCTCAACAAGGCACTGCTCACTGTCAACGGCAGCCTCTGCAGCATCATGTCCTTCATCTCCATCACACCCTGCGTGCGGCTCAGTGAGTACCACATAACATGGCATGGCATGGCGTAGCGTGTCGCAATGTTGCCTGCTGCACTGAAGGGCTGGCTGCATCTTGGGGTCAGGAGGGTGGCTGTAGGCTCCAGCTCAGCAGAAGCCATGGGCACGTAGGGTGTACGCAGCTCCCTGAGGCTCCCTCTGGCCATGGGCTGTGCCCTGGTGCAGGGCTTTGGGCATGGGATCTGCTGAAGGGGATGCCTGGAACCCACACAGAGCCTCTGACCCCTCTCCTTGCAGAGCAGCCGCAGTCAGGGCTGCTACAGTCCTCAATCATCAGCTGCTACGTGATGTACCTCACTTTCTCTGCATTGTCCAGCCGTCCCCCAGAGAGAGGTGAGTGCTCCCACTGCCACAGGCAGCCAGCTGCTGAAGTGTGAGCCCGCTCTCACCTCAGCCTCCCTGCAGTGCTCTACAAGGGGCAGAACCTCACCGTCTGCTTCCCGGGCATCCAGCAAGATGAACTGCAAACAGAGGACACCACGGTCGCCATCCTGGGGGCTGCCATCATGTACGCCTGCGTGCTCTTCGCATGGTGCGTGCGCCCACAGCGTGGGGGGCAAGGGTAGTTGGCTTGTCACAGCGCTGACCCTTTCTGGGCTCAGCCTTCCTTGCATGCACCCCATGGGGACTCTGTCCCTAGCCCATGGCATGGACAGCTGAGCTGGGGATGTGCCCAATGGCATGTGTAGATGGGCAGCCTGATGTCCCCAGGCCCAGCACAGCAGATCTGCTGCTGCTGTAATGATCCCAGGTGCCAGATCCAAGGGTGGGCAGGGGACCTGGCACAGATCCTTGTGTTACAGTTTTTCGTGTCTCTCTCGTGCACAGTAATGAAGCCTCCTATCTTGCTGAGGTCTTTGGGCCCCTCTGGATGGTCAAAGTCTACAGCTTTGAGTTTAAAGTGAGTACCCCCATCTGTGGCCCCTCCTGCCACAGACACCCAGATGCAGCACCCAGAGTCCTCCTGAGCCCCACGTCCAGCCCAGGGCCAGGGTTTGTCCAGCCAAGCTAGGGACTTTTCTGTGCACAGCCCATCTATGCTACCCCCCTGCAGCGAGACAGCCCTGGCTCAGTTCAGATGCTGTGGTGCTGCCCAAGCAGGGGCTGCAGTGGGGATGAGTGTCATGGGTCACTGCCTTATCTCCTTTCACCAACTTGTTTCCCTGTCTGTCTCTGCAGAAACCCTCTTGCTGCTTCTGCTGCCCAGAGAAGATGGAGGAGGAGCTGAGAGGTGAGTAGAGGATGGGTGCCAGCAGGTCAGGGGGAGGCTGTAGTGACACACGGCCTTGGGTAGCTGTGTCAGATGCCAGAGGCGTTGATGAGGACAGTGTGCAAGAGCTGCAGCTGCCATCACCCTGCACTCCCTCAGGTGCTGCTCAGGAACAGACATGTGAGCAAGAGGAGGAGCCTGCTGGAGGACAGTGTGTTTTCCAGGATGAGCGAGACCATGTGGTCTACAGCTACTCAGCCTTCCATTTTGTCTTCTTCCTCGCCTCGCTTTATGTCATGATGACGCTCACCAACTGGTTCAGGTAGGGCCACCCCACTGTCCTTGCTCTGTTTCCCTGTTGCTTATGTGGCACCCGCCGCAGGCTGTCCCTGCTCTGTCACACAGCCAGGTCTGACCTGCTCCCTGTGTGGCTGCAGCCACCAGGTGCTTGTCACCAGAGCAGACCAGTGTCTCTGACGTGGCCATGTGCTGGGTGAGCCCTGCGCTCACAGGCCTGCACCGCCTCACCCAACGGTGCTGCCGCACGACGGTCTAAGGTCCGTGGGGCTGGGGTCCCCAGAGCAGGCAGGACATGGCCAAAGACATGCAGCTGCTGGGGCTGGGGGAACCTGCCAGCTGCAGGTGATGCTGCATCCCACACATACCAGTATCTCCCCAGTACTCAGTGGCTGCCTCTCCCTGCAGCTACGAGACCGCAGTGCTGGAGACCACCTTCACACATGGCAGCTGGTCGACGTTCTGGGTGAAGGTGGCCTCGTGCTGGGCCTGCGTCCTGCTCTACCTGTGGCTGCTGCTGAGCCCTCTCTGCCTCCGTGGCTCCCCACAGCATCGGCGGAACAGCCCAGCCCTGCGCATCGTGCGGCGGCGACGCGCCCCACACCGCATCAGTGTCTCCACGTAGTCACTGCTGGGAGGGACTGTGCTTGGCCCTGTGCTTGGCCCTTGCCGTGCCGTGTGCCTGGGTCTTGGCCTCACCGGTCCCCTTGACTGCTCCTCACCCCATGGCTGAGGAAAAGATGTCATCTGAGCACAGGAGGAGGACCTAGGATGTGGAAGCTCTGCTGCACCAGCTCCAGGGACACATCCTGCACTGAGCTGGAGCCATCGAGGGGCCATCCCGAGCCTGCCCAGATGGCAAGCGCTCAGCTTCTGCTGCTGCACTCCCCTCCAGCCATGAAGGCAGCTCCTGCCCGTCTGCCACCCCTCGGTCACGGCCCAAGGCCGGCAGGGAGCAGCGCTCTGGTCTGTCTGTCAGCTCACCTACCGGCAGCGTGGGTATTGTAAATAGCTCCATAAATACGTTTTTTAACATAAATCGCTGATCTGACTCTGTGCCGCCTGCTCCACACGCATGCAGCAGCCGTGGGACTGCGCACGGCCATTGCCAGCAACACCCCGGCGCCAGCCCCAGTTGTTGCAGCAGCCGCAGTTCCCAGGACCGCAGCCTCACTGCGCCGGGCAGGACCCTGCCTTCGCCCCTTCGGGTGTGACCGAGCGCAGCCCCGCGGAGCACGGACGGACACGTCCCGTGGCAGCCGCTCGTGCCCAGAGCGAATCGAGCGGGGCTGGGGCGCGGGGGGCAGTTGGGCCGCGGTATCAGCACGGCCGCAGGAATGCGGGCCGGCCCCGGGCCCCCGCCCCGCCCGCAGAGCAAACACGGCGGGGCCCGGCGGTACCGCGCGGTGCTGCGCCCGACGGGGGCCCCGTGCGGCGGCAGATCGGCCGGGTTTGACCGCCCGTAGGCAGCGCGACGGGGAGGGCCCGACAGCGCAGCCCCGTTTCCCCGGAGCGGCGGTGCGGGCGGCTGTCCCGTTTCCCCCGGCCATGAAGGGGCGCGGACGGGACGCGGGCGTCGCGCGGCTGCAGCAGCGGCTCGGGGACGCCGCGCAGGTAGGGGTGCGGGGTTGGGGGAGGCTGCGGGCCGTGCCGGCGGAGCCAAAGGGACTCTCCCCGCCAGGAGAACGCGCGGCTGCGACTCAGCGTGCTGCGCTCCGAGGCCGGACAGTCCCAGCTGCGGGCGGAGCTGGAGCGGCTGCGGGAGGACCTCCATCGGCGGGCACAGCGACGCAGAAGGTGGCATTGCGGGCGGGGGGCGAGGAGAAGACCCCGGCCCTGGGCTGTGCTCCGGCCCTGCCCCGCCCCGGGGTGCCCACGGATGCCCGCCCAGGGACGGCCCTCGGCTGTCCTGAGGTCCAGGGAGGGCTCCGCCGTGCCGCGAACGCCGGCAGCCGTCGGGAAGCCCACGCGGAGCCGCTGGCACGGCCCTCCCGGCCCGCTGCTACCCTCCCCCGCCCCCTCCACTCTTCGGTGACACCGCGCGTCCCGGAGCTGCTCCAGCGCTTCCGGCACCCCGAAATGGGGGAACACGTGGGGCGGGAAGGACGTGGGCAGCCCCCGGTGCCGGCCCTGCCGTGAGGATGTCGTTTCTCCGCAGAGAGCAGCAGGCGCTGCAGGAGCTGGCGGAGGAAAACCTGGCCTTCACCAGCTACATCAGGATGCTGCAGTAGGTCGGGTGTGCAGGGCGGGAGGCGGCGCGAGGATCGGGCAGGACACGCTCCTCCCCCGGTGCCGACCCGGCCTTAGGCCGCCGCTCTGGGCAGGTCGGCGAATAGGAGACTACGGGAGAGCAACGGCAGCCTGCGCTCAGCCCTGCTGCTGGGCGCCTGCGGGGGCCCCAGAGCGGTGAGCACGGCGGGGGGGGGAGAGAACGGGACGGGACGGCGGGACCCCTCCCACAACCTGCCCTGCAGCTCGGGGGCTGCAGCCGGGGACCCCCGGAGCCCCGAGTGCCGGCAGCAGCAGATCCCCCCGGGAGCCCATCAATGCTGACACCCCAACCCCGCCAGCCCAAGCCCCTGTTCGGCCCCGCAGCCCCCTCCCACAGCCTCCCCAAGTGTGCTCACAGCAGGTGAGAAGTAAACGCACAGGTGAGGGATCAGCTGCAGCCGCCCCTCCCCGAGTACCATGCTGGGCACGGGTCCGGTGCACGGCTCCTTGTGCCCCCAGCAGAGCTCAGCCTGCAGTGAGGACTCGGCGTCATCCAGCGATGCCGGTTGCCGGAGCTCGGAGGATGCGCGTTCTGCCAGCCCTGCTCAGGACACACAGGTGCAGGCCCTGCCCGCTGCCCCACCCGACCCATAGACTCGGGTGCCTCACTGTGAGATCTGCCACTCTGCAGGACCCCCAGCCCGGCGAGGTGGAAGGCTGCTGCCATCCTGCACAACGCTGCTGCAAGAGGAAGCTCTCTGCCTTTGCACCGGAGGTACACAGCAAGTCCCCATCCGGCTCACACGGCCCGGCTGGAAGGGGAAGTGGGGACCCCCCCGGCACTGACGCTCTAACAACTTGCTCCATCTCCCAGGGGTCTGGCACGGGGGAGCAGCCCGTGGCCCCCAGCCCCGTATACCGGCTGGTGCTGGCAGGGGACAGCTGTGCAGGCAAGTCCAGCTTCCTGCTGCGCCTCTGCAGAAACGAGTTCAGAGGTGACATCTCCTCCACGTTAGGTACCAGGGCTGGGACAGAGGGGCTGGGATAAGTGGGCTGGGGTCTGATGGCTGCCCTGGGCAGGGGTGGACTTCCAGGTGAAGGAGCTGCTGGTGGATGGGGAGCAAACCACACTGCAGATCTGGGACACTGCCGGGCAGGAGAGGTGAGGAGGGCAGCAGTGCCCGCAGCGCAGCCAGGTCTCTGCTGCAGGCCTGGCCCCGCACAGCCCTCACGCGGGCGGTGACACCCCGGCTCCAGGTACCGCAGCATCTCCCGCTCCTACTTCCGTAAGGCCCACGGCGTGCTGCTCCTGTACGACATCAGCTCCCAGAGCAGCTTCCTCAGCGTCCGCCAGTGGATTGAGGACATCGAGGTAACGGGACGGATCCAACGGCTCCCAGAGCAGGGCCGAGCCTCAGGGCGGGCAGCTTTCAGTGGAACTGCAGGACCCCAAGCCACCCTTCGCTGTTGCAGGGCGCCGGGACTGCACTGCCGCTCATGCTGGTGGGTAATAAGAGCGACCTGCGGGCCGCGCTGCCAGAGACGGCGGGGGTCCACACGGCCCACGGACAGAGGCTGGCCACGGTGAGTAGCTGCTGCTGGGGGTGACCCCCGGCTGCTCCCCCGGCCTCTGATTCCAGCCGCTCTCTCTCCAGGCCCGTAACTGCCTGTTCTGCGAGACCAGCGCCAAGGACGGCACGAACGTGGTGGAAGCCGTGCTGCACCTCGCCCGGTGAGCGGCGACCAGGGGAGGGGGGACGCGCGGACCGAGGGCGGAGCGCCGGGCTGACGCCGCGCCTCGGCCCGCAGAGCAGTGAAGAGGACGGCGGCCTCGGGCAGCGGCGCCCGCCTGGATCTCAGCATCCCCGCCCCGCGGGCCGCCGCGGGCTGCTGCAGGGCCTGACGCGGGAGCGTCGCCTTCGCGTGTCACCCCCCCCCCCCCATCCTCCCGCCGCTGTTTCAGGCTCTCACTACAGCCGCTTCCCACTGCATCCGCAGCGCTCCGCTGCCTTCATTCCGCCGGGCTCCCGCAGCAGCCCCTCCCGGAGCTCGCAGATCCGGCGCCGCGGAGGCCCCGCGGCACCGACCGTCCCCGTCCCGGGGCTCACCGCGAGAACGCCGACCGCCCCCCGCCCCCCCCCCGCCACCGGGCACACGTAGGAGGCCGGGCCTGCAGGGCTCCACGAGCTACTTTAATGGGAGAGCGGCGCCGCCGGGGAGCCCGGCGGGGCGGGGCGGCCCCGGGGCCGCGCAGGGCATCGCTGAGCACCGCCCGCGGGGCACCGCCGCTACTTGTTGCCCTCCTTCTTCTCGTCAGCCTTCTTCTGCTTCTGCTGCATTATCTCCGAGTCCCTGCGGAGAGCGCGGCGCGGCTCACACCGGTGCCCGGCGGGGCCCGCGGGGCGGTGCTGCCGGCACTCACCTCTGCTTGCGGGCGGCGGCCGAGAGCCCGTCGTCGCGCCGTTTGCCCTTGCCCGAATCGCTCTGCTTCTTCAGGTTCTTCTGCCGCGCCAGCTCGCGTTGGTTCCCGCCTGCACGGCGCGGCCCTCAGCTCGGCACGGGTGCCGGGCCCAGGAAAAGGCCCCGCTCCCCCCGCCCACCCCCAGCCCCGCGGTAGTAGAACGCGCAGCCGCCCCCGGCCCAGCCCCGCTCCCACCCCCGCCCCCCGGCGGCGCTGCGCCGCTCCCGGCCCGGCCCGCACTCACGGGTCATGGTGCCGCTCCCTCCCGCCCTCCGCTCCGCCGCCACGTCCCGCACTGCCCCCCCTTCGCCCCGCCCCCGCAGCGCTCTTTAAGGGAGCGCCGCAGCCAATCGCCGCGCCGCGCCCGCCCCCCGCCGCCCTCCCATTGGCGCGCGGTGACGGCCCGGCCCCGCCTGATTGGCCGCGGGCTACGGCCGCCGTTCCGCCGGCGGGGGCGATAACGCCGGGAGCTGCTGCGCAGGCGCAAGGAGCCGCGGGGCCGCGCCCGTGGGCCCGGGGGGCGGGGAGCGCTGCGGTCGCTCCTCCTCCGTGCGCGCGGGGGCGGCGCGGAGCCCCGGTCGCTCGGAGCGCGGTTCCTCGGGCGGGGCCGTTCCCTCCCTGCGGGCAGAGCGGCCGTGAGTGCGGCGCGGAGCCGGGCGGCGCGGCGCGGGGCGGCTTCGGCCCCACACGCACCCGGAGCTCGGCGGTGGCCGCGGACGGTCGCGGGGCTCCTCGGCGGTGCGGGCGCGGCGCTTGGCCAGGCGGGAGAGCTCCGCGTGCACGGGCTGCGGGAGAGCCGCGGGGCTGCAGCGTCGCTGCCGGAGCGCTTCCGCGGTCCCGCCCCGCCCCGCCCCGCACCTTGCTGGCCGGGTCCAGCTCCAGCGCCCGCCGCAGCACGCGCGCCGCCTCCTCGTCGCGGCCCTCCTCGGCCAGCAGCTGCGGGGGGACAACGGGAGCCGTGCGCGGTGCGGCGGGAAGCGGCGGGGGGAGCCGCGGGGTCGCGGACGCACCTGTCCCCGCCGCAGCAGCGCGGTGCCGTTATCCGGGCTGAGGCGCAGCGCCTCCTCCACGGCCGCCAACGCCTCCGCGCCCCTCTGCAGCCGCCGCGCCGCCGCCGCGCAGTTGTTGAGGCACTTCACGCGCTGCTCCAGCAGCTCCTCTTCGTGCGGCCCGGGCGGGGACGCGGGGTGGAGGTCGACGCCCGTCCCGTCCCGCTGCTCCTCGCCGGACCCTTCGAGGGCGCTCAGTGCCAGGCGATACGACAGCAGCGCCGCCGCGAAGTCGCCCCGCGCGAAGTGGACGTTTCCGCGCTCCCGTTTCTGCGCGCCCAGGCGGAGGCGGGCGGCGGGCGGCAGCCGCTTCGGATCGGGGCCGTCGCGCACCTCCAGTAGCGTCACCTCGAAGACCAGCGGCGCCTCGGGGGGCACGTCGGGCTCCCTGCGGGACCGACACCCGCTGTCCCCGCGCCCCCGTCCCGTTGGCCACCCCGGCCCTCCGGTCCTACCTGCCCGCGCGGCCGTAGCCGTAGGGAGAGGCGGCGAGGAAGAAGCAGATCTCCCCGGCCCGCATGGTGGGGACGCCGAGTTCCAGCGCCTGCGGGCACGGAGTACGGGCTGTGCTCGCCGGGCTCTCCGCGCCCCGCGCCCTGCCACCTGCGCTGCCGACCTGCAAGGCGTCGCCCTGGCCCGGCACGAAACTGAGCCGCGGGTCCCGCTCCACCAGACCGCCGTCCTCCAGCGCTCCCAGCAATTTCACCGACACCTCCTGGCCTGGCTGCGGCGCGCCTCCCCGCCCGTCCCGCACCACGCGCTTCCGCAGCAGCCGATCCTCTACGGGCAGCATCCCGTGAGAGCCGCTCCGGCCGCGCCTCAGCCCCGCACCCGCCGCCCGGCGCTCACCCGTCACTTCGCTCCAGCCCTCGGCGGCGAAGAGCGGCGCGAAGCCGTCGGGTCCCAGCGCCCCGAGCGCGTCCAGGCGCCGGTAGAAGAGCTGCTCCTCGTCGCGGCACGACGGCACCGCGATGGTGGTGTGCGGCATACGGAACCGGACGCGCCTGCTCCGGCCCGGCCCCCGCAGCCGCTCACCGGCCCCCGCCTCCCCCTCCGGGGAGCCGCCGGCCGAGGCTCCTTGCATGCCCGCCCGTCGCCCCGCCGCCTGCCCGCCGCCGCGAGCCGACCCCGGGCCGGGCGGGCCCGCGCTCCCCGCGTCTCGGCGGCGGCCGCCCGCAGCCCCCAGCCCGCTCCGGGCGCGTCGCCTCCGGCCCTGCAGAGCCGCGACTGCCCGGGGCCGCCCAGAGTCGGGGGCGCCGCCGAGCGCATCCCGCCGCGCCGTTACCTAACGCCGGGAAGCCGCTAAGGGGATTAGCGGTGACGGCAGCGCGTCGCGACGGCAAAAATAGCCGCTTCGGGACGAGCTCCGCCGCGGGAGTCCCGCCGGAACCGGGCAGGTACCGCCTCGGGGCCGCCCCGTCCCGCACGGCGCCGGCAGCCACGGGGTGAGTGCGGCTGCGGCCGGCGGCATCGGCCCGGGGGTTTCGAGGGTATCGGGTCATCCAGGGCAGGCAGGAGCAGCCGCTCGGGGCGTCGGGACGGGGTAACGCGCCGGCAGGGGCCGGGGGGGCGTTTCTCGTTCCCTGGACTTTTGCCGGTAGGACGGCCTCGAGGGAGGGGGAGGCTCAGCGAGACGCGGCCCGGGCGGGGGATTCCCGCTGGCAGCGTCTGCCGGCGCCGGGAGCCCTCCTGGTTCTCCACTTTCCTCTTCGCGCCGCAGCCGCCACGAGCCGCGCCCCGGTGAGCCCCTCGCTGCGCTGCCGAGCCTGGGGTCGGGGGGCTGGGGGTCGCCCTGCCCCCCGGGCTTCCGTTGCTGCCCCTCTCGCACTCCGCACTGTGCCGGTGGCATCACGTCAGCGCCCGCTCTGGTGCTGCTGGCGGTTCTGCGATGGCTGCCTGGACGCCTCCGTGTGACCTATTGCAGGGAAGCTGCTCGGCAGAGGGGTTGCCCTCGCTCTCTTGAGAGCCTCTCCAACCCCCGCGATTCTGTGATTCCAGAGTCCCAAATCTGCACCCCCACAGCCCGGCATAGCAGGACAATTCTCGCTGCTCATTAGCTGGAGAAAAGCCAAGCTGAACATCGAGAACAAGGCCCTGAAGGCTCACTGAAGGAAACCAGACTCACAGTAGGAGGGTGTTGTTCAGCGAGCATCAGCCTGATGCTATGTTTAATGAATTTCCCAAGGACAGGCAATACTTTGGTTTAAGGGGGTCATTTTATTGTTTCACTTCTCCAAATGTACAAAAAAAAAAATTAGAAAACAACCCTACCCCCCACCCCCTCCCAAACCAGAAAACAAACCAGTCTGGAGAGCCCCACAGCAGTGCAGCTAAGAGGCAACAGGAAATTAAACAGAAGTAGACACAGCAGCTGGAGCCCCTCAGCCCTCACAGTCACTGGCTCTCCACAATCCAGAACTGGCCCCAGTCTGCCCAGTGCTTCCCCAATTCACACAGAGCACATCCTGACAAGGTGGTGAGTGGGAACTTTACAAATCCTCCTTCGCCTTCTTCTTGGATTTCTTGGCTTTATCTTCCTCCTGCAGCACAGGAATGCTGGTTGCCTCCCGCTTCAAGTAGCTGATGAAGTCACTCACTTCTCTGCCACCCTGCAGAACACACAAGGCAGTAAGACACAGCCTGTCCTCACTGTGGACTTTGCCTTTGCTAGGGGAGAGTTTGGGTGCCAGCCAGGAGACCAAGCTAAGTGCAAGCAGAGCTCTCTCCTGTGGGTCTGCAGCAGCACAGTCCCAGCAGGGAGCACCACGTGTGTTCCCTGGTAACAGGACAGAGTGCCAGGCACAACTCCAGAGAGACTCCACGTTATTTGGGCACCTGGATTCTACCTCATCACTTCACAAAGCCCCAGGAGTTGCATGCATGACACTCACCTCATACTTCTTTGGACTCTGCTTCTTGCCAGCTGGAGCAAAATAGATGGTGGGGAAGCTGGGGAAGAGAGAACAGGTGTCTGAGCTCACGATGTGCTGCTTTTTTCAGGCCCTGTCCTTCAGACCACTGAGAGGACTTGCACCCTTGCTCTAGTTTTACACAGCAACAAGAAAACCAGCTCTTAAGCCAGTGTATGTGGCATCCAAAAGCCTTATCTGCACAGCTGGCTGAGCACAACTACAGTCAGGTTTGCTAGCTTTCAGAAAAGCAATTCCAGTGTTATTTCTGCACCACCAAGACAGAATCACAGCAAATTCAAGAGAAAGGCTCAGTGAGACAAGCTTATAGGTATGGCAAGGACACCATAGGAGCAGAACAGATGTATGCAGTTCCCTGTCCATACCCCCCTTCTCCCCAGGAACCTCCATCAGATCAGCAGAGGATGCTGGTCAGAGACAGAAGCCTGAACTCGTGCCTGCTGACAGCAGTCCAACAGAAGCAGCACCTACCCTCTGACTTCGTATGGAGAAGGCACATCGTTGGCTGTAGCATCCATTTTGGCAATGACAATATTGGGGTCTTTACTGAGCTGTTGGGAAAGCACATTAATAACCAACCTGCAGCAGTTAACAGCAGAACTATCAACATGTAAGCTAGGATTTCACAGGACAGCATGTACTGTGCACAAACAGTTGAATAAAATTTATTCTAAAGAGTTTTCTTCTGCTTCAGCAGGGGCACAGGGAACTAAGCTCCTCATTCACTTGTATGCAGCACAGATCTCCCAAAGAATACCAGACTAAGTCAGTAGCTGCAACTCCTAAGGAATGCTGACCCCAGAGGCACTGTGTGCCATGAATCTTTGAGAAAGCAAACTGTGAGTGTAAGCAGTGCCCAAGCAGGAAGGGCACCTGACAGCCACACAGGAAAAAGTTGGTCAGATCTGCAAAGACGTGTTTACACCTGCACTGGAAACATCATCTGATGGAAGGACAGCAGTGCCATGCAGTCTACAGTCACACCACAGTCAGAGCAAAAAGCCCAAAAAGGAACTTCTCCACCCAAGGACTAAATAAGGCAACACTGACAAAATATTACCACCAAGCCAGCCACCACAAAACCAGCTCAGTTACTGCCACGCTCCAGATCCTGCTCATGCACTTCTGCATCTACAGGAGATGGCAAACACTGAAGTCCTCAGGAAGGCACAGTTATACCATTACAGTGTCAAGCTTGGAGAGACACAATACGCAGAACTCTGTAGTGCTGCAAAGCTGTCACGTACACTTGCAATAGGGACTCCGACCTACCTTCTCTCCCAACTCTTTGTATTTGGGCTCCAGATTCTTGCAGTGGCCACACCAGGGTGCATAAAACTCTATCAGGACATCTTTGTCTTCTGCATTAACAATTTCATCAAAGTTCTCAGCAACCACCACCTGAAAGGGTTTGATCACACAAAGTTTGGACTTCTAAGTCAACAGTGAGGCTGTACCACGACACGCTATGGCCCAGAAAGCCTGGCCTCCCACTGCACTCGGCTGTGCACTGTGCCTACATAGCGAGCACCAGACCGACCAAACTCACAGCTCTTCACCAAGCAGCATCTTGAGCAAGCAGGCAAAAGCCTGTGGTAAGATACTGGCACCGCCTGCAAGTGAGCTTTGGACACTGTAACACCGCAGGAGAAAGGCAGAATAATTCATTTCTTAATCCCAGCAGGCTCCAGGCTAAAGAATGAGTTTAGCTGTATTTGCTGAGGTCATCCCAACCCACACACAAATAAGCAGTGCAGTTTCACTCCATTTAAGACCCTCATCTGATTGTAAAGCCACGGGAATGCTTTCCTTAGGGCAGATTCCAGTGGGATGAACAAGCAGTAGGAATTAAACCTTTCTCTTAAGCTGATGAGATGAACATGTAAGACTTTAGGATCTGAGCTGTTGTGACCGGCTTCAAAGCCGTTCCTTGGGGAGGCACAAGTCAAGATAACAGAACCCCTGTAAATCTCAGTGATCCTGCACTTGCAGAGAGCATCGTGAGTGGGCTCGTGCAGGACTATGCTGAGAGGAAAGTATGGAACCAAAACTGCAAGCTGAGTTTCTTCAGCTCAGAAGTGCAACACAGAAGGGAATGAATTCTTTTTCTACACCACACCACAGACTTCAAGGTGCCACAGCAGTGCACGTGCAGCAAGGTGTGCTGGCACACAACTGGAAGCTGCTGCTGAGGTGTTTTTCATCATTGGCAGCGGCTTTCGCCTTCCCTTGGTACAACACTCACCTTCACAGGGCCATCATTGTTTTCAGGGACAGGCTCTGATTTCAGGTACTTTTTCAAGTTGCCATCAAAGTAATCTTGCAAGAATCTCTCCAGAGCCTTTCCGTCACGGCTGAAAGCAAAGTGACATTTTATAGCCACCATGACACACACGGGATGAGAGGAAAACCTTCAGGGCTGATTTAACCTCCTTCCACCCACATAACAGATGCCACCTGCATCTGTGAGAGCACCACCCTGGGGCCAGCTCAGAACAAGCACAACAGTCACCAGACTCTTGGCAGGAGCCTAGGTGCACATCTCAGTCTAGGTTTCAGGCCTTCAGAGCACCCTTAGATTTCTTCTTTTCCAAAGGAATGTACAGCTGTTCCCACCCGTGCCCTGTACCAGATCTTAATTCCTAGGCAGACATTACATAAAGTTACAGAATTAAGCTGAAGATATTTAAAGACAGGACAGGCTCCGGAGGGCAAGAAAGCACACTGGACAACTAAGAACCTTTCTGACCCAGCAGTCATTTCTTCCAGCAGGAAGATCCAGCTTTCCTATTTCCCCCAAGCTAATGAACAATTCCTTGGTCACAGCCTCCCCAAGTCTATCAAGCAAGAGGCAACACTGCTAACATGCAAAAACTTACGAGAATTCTTCCTGCATGACATATTTATCTCCTTTAGCTGTTCTGATGGCAACAACAGGCGCCTCACCCACGCTGTTGTCTAGGCCGAATTCTGACAGCTCGTGGCCAAAAGTTTTCCGGCCAGCAACAGCAAATGACAGTTTGTGACCAGCATCCAAGAACTTCTTTGCAATCATCATAACTCTGAAGCAAAAAAAGGAGACAAAAAGCAGAAAACAAAGCATGATTCCTTGGAACATCATCTCCCACATGAGGTCACACCTTTCAAGTTGAGG